GTCTACAAGTTTTCGGGATGAGCTGAGATTCCACTATATTTCTCCAAGTAAAAGAAATGAAGATTTCAGTTTAGAGGAAACATTCATAGGACCAAGTTCAGGAGATCAGAATAGGATGTCTAGTGTGTTCAAACAAAATAGAGTAACTTATATAGATCTTTTAAAAATGTTAGTAGTTTAAAACATATTTTAAAACCACAATAATGCCCTTTAACCGAATACCGCTATGCAGTTCCCCAGAACTTCATCCAAAAGGTGTTACCCCAAGAACACAACAAAGGAACCACCCTATAGGAGTACCTTGGGACCTATGGGCAAACCCAAAGGTCTCATTAGGTCCGTAAGGATTTACCAGCTTGATCGGAGTTGAACCTCCATACTCCAGAATCCTACCCATACAGTATACAATAGTAAACTGTAATATCAGGATCGTGATCCAGTAAAATCTCGTATGAGTGACAATGATATAAACCACATAACTCTCCTCCACCCATACACCATATTAAGTCCCATGATTTACTAAAAGGAGTTCCTTGGGGCCAGAGAGCCTACCCAAGAAAGTTTCTCGGGGCCTCGAAGCCTACCCAAGGATTTACCAGCTTCATCAGAGCTAAACCTCCAACTCCAGCCTACCCAGATAATGTCCTAATAAAATATTTTAAGTAGTAAGCAGTAGATTCCATGATCCATAAATCAGGAACGATTATATTTTCCAGTGAAAACAGGAAACCAGATAACCCATTTCAGTTAACCATAGTTCATAAACTATTAAATTCCATAATCCATAAATCAAGAACGATTACATTTTCCTGTGAAAACAAGAAACCATATAACACATTTTAGGTAACCATGGTTCAGTTAAAAGTAAATCAAATTATCAGTAAATCTGAAATTTCAGAAAATCACATTTTAAAATAGTTAAAACATTTGCATTTCACGTAAGAAACACACTAGAGGATCCAAATATTCTTCAGAGCTACTTGGTGATCAGGGATGTATTCATAATCTTTTGTATGATAGTTACTTAAGATTTCAAGTATGATAGGAGTAATTCCATTATTCAAACAAACAGAGGTATTTCAGATATTTTGATTCTTCGAGAATTCTCAGTAATTTAACTCAATAAGGGTAGAGAGATGATTTGTGGTATTCAAGATTTTGTATTTAATTATCAAGATTTCGAGTCTGATTGAACTACAGATCCTAATAATGTTATACTTGTCAATCATTCATACCGTGATACTTCACTATTATTCACTTCTTATTACTGACTGCACCAACTGATCTGATCAATATCATAATCATCATTGATCAGTTCTTGAGGAGACGAATAGGTATTCTTTTGGTATTTATTTCATTTTCACGTTGTAATAGTAGCCAAAATGTCTAACGACTTGGGTCGTGCTCCATAGCCTTTAGAGGCAGTACATCATTTAGTTTTTTCGGTGTTATCATAGTCTATCAAAAGACATTCACGTAATCCAAGTCATAAAGGTATTTAGGTCATCTCGGTATTTTATGTTATTTTAGTTATTTAGGGTCTAGACACATTAGTTATTTCAAAACTTGAGGATAATCCATCATTTAAATACTTCGGTGACGTGTCACACTTCTAATAATCTAGTCTTCAAATGATCATTCAAAAAAACAAGTAGATCGACGTATTAAGAATTCCAAATGTAGAAGTTTATTTTTAGGGTTTTTCAAATAGGTTAGGAATTTAATAGGTGATTTCAATGTTCAAGTGAATCAAAATATGAGTTCCCAGGTCGTATCCATTATCATAGCCATCTATTGTCCTTTTTACACTTTAAGGGTATTATCATCATTCATTCAATTCTGTCAATGGCATTACTTTCGATAAATTAGGCTTCAAAGTATTCTAGTTCCTTTAGAGTTCAGGGTATTTTGGTCATTTGAACATTGAAGGTTATTTTATTTATTTCGTAGCTCGAGGACATTTCAGTAACTCTGATCAATCCAACATATGTACCTTTTCTGGTATTTTGGTCAGATATATTTATTCACTGTTATTTTTTGCTTTTAGGGATAAAATTGGTCTTTTTGTAGTGCAAGGGCATTTTGGTCAAATTATAATTCAAGGTTATTCCAGTCCTTTTTTTTCGTCTAATCTTTCCATTTAATTCAAATTTTATGCATAATTCAAACAATAATAGTACTTCCAATATTTTAGTCTTTAGGTGCTTACTGATAATCAACAATTATAGGTCTTGTATCTTCTTGAATGTTAGGATTCGATTATCAATGACTATCCGAGCATATTATGAATTTAGCAGATGGAATAGTGATTTATCGAATTAAAAAAATATGAATTTTCGAATGTTAGTTTTCATGACCAATTCAATACGATGATACTAATAGTAAGTCCTTTAGTATATATACCAAACCTTTAGTATCGATACCTACCTTGGGTACTGATACCTATTCTGCATTCTGGAATCTGAGAAAGCCTTATAGTATTAGTACCCCTATTTGGAGTATCGGTACTTCTCTATTAGGATATTGATACTGCTTTGGGTACCGATACCAAAATTGGGTTCGATGTTTGGAAAAATAATTCAATATCGATATCTTTACTTAGGGTATCGATACTTTTTCTTTGAGTGGTATCGATACTCCCCAAGTACTGATACTAGATTTGACTACTAGAATTTAAAATTAAACGTTTGGTACAAATACCCCTCCCTTGTGTATCAGTACTCGAAGAATAATAATGATACCCTATGAACAAGGTACTGATACTACTAAGCAAAAAACCATTTATTTTGGTTGTCTAAAAAATAATATTGATATTGTTTATACACTACTGATATTCAAGCCCATAAATGTTCTATTTTAGCACGTAAATGACACCTAACTTCACCCATAAGTCCATCTAAGGTCCTTAAACGTTAATTAAGTCTTATGTAAGATTAAAGGGGTCATAATAGGTTTATTCTCATGTTTTATAACATCAAATGCCATAATCTACCATGGATGCACTTACGTGCTTCATGAATTCATGCATGATAACTAGGAACATCTAATGATCTACAAGTGGTATAGATGAGTCAGAAATGTGTTACCTTACTCCTAGCGGATGAGAATCAACGCCAAGTTCACTCAAGTACTAACTTCTCCTTGTCTTTTCTCTTGAAGCTTTCTCCTATCTCTTTCACTAATTGTGAGACAAGAAAATGAGTTATTAACTCATTTAGGAACTTATAATGAGGTTAAGAAGGTTTTTTAAGGTTCAAATTCGTCAAAAATGAGTTGGTTTAACAATGATTTCTAAAACCACTCCAAACCCCCCATAAATGGCCACTATGGCCAAATAAGAAGAAAGTGGACTTGAACGAAAACTTTAAGGATGAGAATTTCACCACTTATCTTTATTAATCCAGACTAGAGATGTAGGCTAACAAATTTTCCACCTCTGCTCGAGCTATTAAGAAGATGAGACAATTTTTGACAAAGGGAGTGAGGGAAATGAGTTATGAGGGAAATGAGCTTTTCCCCTTATCTCTCTTGGTGACATCACAAAACTTGAATAAAATTCAGTCTTTGAGACAACAAAGGGGATATTTACCTTCTTGGTCCTTCATTCTTTGCTTCTAATACAAAAATACCCCTTTTATATCTATTTGGGCTCAAACCAAGCCTAATCCAACTCAAATTTGGGCCAAGGCTTCCTACAAGGTAAATGGGTTTATCCAAGGCCCACTTGGGTTAGCCCGAAACTACTAACCCAGAGTTCGGGGTGTTACAGATATCACTTGTTAGAACCAAATCGTAATAAATATGAAATCAAAATCTAATATCTAATCATGTCAAATTATCAAAAACGAAATACTATATGTGGAAGCGTATCTGAATTAATTGATAGGTTATAATCATTGAATCTTTCTTTGGTTGTGATCTTCCAAGAAGATAGATTTTCTCTTGTTGTAAATACTCTCTGACATGATGAGAGTAATATAATTTAACCTATTTCTTGTAGACCATTACCTCTTTCATCAAATTATGAGTACAATTTATGATATCTACACTTTAATACCTATTACAAATATAACATAATTGACCATTTAATTTTGTCTAATACTTTATGATATCAATGTATATATATATATATATATATATATATATATATTCACAATTATGAATTTTAATTCAACATTAAACATAAATATCACAAAAGGAATTTTTTTGAACAGTCAGAAACAACATAAGTATAAAATTGAAGCTCGACGTGACTAGAAAGCTCGCGATCATAAAGTTTTCAAGTTCGACTTAAAATCAAAAATTTAAGCTCAACTCGAGCTCAAAATATTCTCAGACTTGCTCAATTGAAGATCAAGCTCGAGCTCAAACCTAAACCTTAAGTACATGAAAGCTTTATATTGTATTTTTTTTAAAAAAATAAACATATAAATGTTAATATTAATAATAATTTAATTTAAAAAAAATTAAAAGTTAATAAATTATTTTTTTGAGTTGGTGGTTAACTTTTTGAGTCGGGTATCAAATAGCTTACTTCGACTCATTAAGAATTTAAGTCGAGTTTAAATTTTAGTCTATTCAATTTGATAATTGATCGAGTTCTGACTAAATCCATTTTGAATAACTTACAATCTGTCTCGTCTCATTTACAAACCCTACCCGGGCATGCCATAAGTCTCGGTTGAAATCAATATCTTTGTGTCCACGACAGTTTTCATTTTCGGTCTTTCTAGTTTGCACCATATAATACGTTTGTTTTGCCGGTTTGGTTGTTTTTTCAGCTAAGCTTAGTTACCACAACGACTGCAAAACGTCCAACAACACTAACAAAAACAAACCACTTTCCCTTCATTTCTTTTTCTTTTTCTTTTTCTTTTTCATTCCCTTAAACTTTCATGGGATCCCAACACTTTTCCCTTTTTTTATTCAGCTCTAATCATATACTAAAACAAAGAAAAGTTTATCTTCCACAGATCTTTTGCATCTCTTGCAACATTCAAATGCAAGAAACAGTACACGGGGATTTCAGAATCTACATCGTGTTGACCTTTTTCTTTGTCAGCGTTGTCACCGGAGGCGTCTTCTTATGTCTTTATATGTTCCAACCCGAGGAGCAATCCACGCCCTGGTATTCAGTCGTTGGGATAGTTCTTGTAGGCATTCCTTGGATCTTTTGGATTGCTACTTACATATACAGATGCATTGCACATTGCTTTTGTGCGACCAATGGAGGACATGTTGACAGGGAACATAGCAGCTTAACGAAGAAAAAGTCTCGTGCTTCTGAAGGACATGCAGGAAGATCGATCCATTTGTTGGAAAATGGAGGCTCTCCATCAGGAACACCTGATGGTGATCAACATCATGTTCATTTCGGGGATGTTGTCATGGTTGGAAGCACATAGTAAAATTGGGACGAATACGGTGTAGAAAATTTGCAGGAAGCGCAACAATCTTCCAACGGATTTGCTTCGGACGAAGATCATATTGCCGCTGCATCTATGAAAGTCAAAGAACCGTTACCCTGACGTTTCCTTTTTCTTTTTCTGTTTTCCATATATATATAATCTTTTTTCCCAGAAGGAAAACTTTCTGCAATTCCTGGGCTTTCATAAGAGTCTATTCGACGACATAAAATAATGCAGCTACATTTAGCATGAAGTATAATGCAATTACTACCACTTAAACGAAAGCTGAAAAGCTTTAAGACATCCAATTATACAACACAAATCCGTGAGATAGAATAAGACACGAAAAATAACTCGAACATGATACAATATATAATCATCTAAAAATATACATAATATGAATTATGACACATAAAAAGTATACAAACAAATTTAGCTTTAAACATCCTAAAAACGAGAATAAAGAAAGTAGATCTATGATTCATAAATTAAAATGTCCAGGAGAGTTATGAAAAGCTAAATTGAACCAAATAAAAAAAAATCAAATCATAGAAATAAAACAATAAACGATAAATTCAAATCACAGAAACAATGATGAAAAAACATCTCATACAAGTTTATTTAAAGTTTTTCTATAAACATTTCAGCATTTTCACATTTGCAAGATACAGAAAAGGTATAAAAGCATGTTCCCAATGCATAGAAAGATTAAAAGCATTAAAAGATCATCCTAAGGCAACTTTTGAACCTTGGTAAGAAAACAATTGCACCGCATTTCGACAGCTTATCTCTGCAAGTTCCTCTTTACTAATCTCGAGCAAATTTGCAACATAATCAAGTACCTGAAACAAGATTCTTAGTATTACAAACAGTGTGCACTGCATACCTAAACATACTTTTTTATGGAAATAGGATACATATAATGCATATAGGGATAAAAGTTGCATATACAACAAGATGCAGTCAGAAACTAAATGATGACATCTCGAGCAAATTTAAGTATTTAACTACCAGTCTTAGATTCGATAACCAAATCTATCGATGACTCTCTCAACTCATTGAGGTTTTAACTTCAAAGTATTCCTGTCATGACTCACGACATATTAGTGCTGTTGGAAATTAGAATTCAACCAAAATAAGATCATGGTCTTCCATGCTTCATTTTATCATATATGAACCAGATATTACTATCTTGATCTTCAATTAGACTAGTAGCGTTTTTATAAACTATCTAATATATGGTTTTTCTTTACAAAGTTAAATTATTCAGTCTCTTTTCCTATTGGGGGCTCTTTTTTGTACTACAGAAAACAAAGCAAGAATCTATAAGCCTAAAAAGGAAATGCTGTAAGTAGAAGGCATTGTACCATACAACTTGTTATCTTAAACTATTTCCTCTATAATTTGATTTCTTTTTTATTTCCTACAAGAAAATGGGCTGAAAACTAAGAGATTAGGATAAAGATGTAAGCAGTCTACAAGTACACGAAAAAGGATACCCTTAAGTTGAAGGAGAAAGCATACATTATGAATGTTAGCCGGATGATTAAGCATATCTTTTGGCAATGAAGACACCTCTCTTGGTGTAAGAGATTGATTATCAGATGGAATGCTAGCATTTGAAGCAGAATTTCTCCCTTGAGCAAAAAATTCTTGTCGGAGGGAAGTATCTTCATCGACCAAAAATAAAGAGCTTGACTCTGAATTTGGCATTGCATCCGGTGCATCTGACTCTAATAATATCCTTTCCGAAGGTATCTGCACGAATTTCAGAAGTAAAAAGATTGTACGCTTATACTTTTTCACATGATGACTCAAATGAACAGAACAATAAACCAGATGAACTAACTGTCTTCAGCATTTTCTTGGCCTTCTGCAATTTCAATGTCATGATGTATCCTGAAAATGAAAAGTAAGCACCAGATTTGACAAATTCAGGAACCATCTCTGCAGAACCCAGGTAAGAATGAAGGAGGAGACCATCTGGGAAAGGCCCAACGTCTATGAGGAAATTAATACATAGTATTAAGGAGATACATGTAGTAGCTAGAGCATGTTATACGTACATCAGTAAGCGAGCAGCTAAGATACATATGTGATAAGAGCACATTTAAGGACACCGACAGTGATAAGTGCCTTAAGTTCAGCAGGCTTGCTTGCCTTCATAATTATTTGTTATCTACCAAGTTCCAGATCTTAGAGAAATTGCACAAAAAATTTTTGGAATGTTCTCCAATATCATGTTTAAGATAAAATCTTTCCATAAAAAATGTAGAGAATGTCATACTTCACTATCTGAAGAAGATCACCATATGCACGAACATAATGGACTGATGCTCGTTTTTTCAACTCTTTGGCAAGCTCGAGCTGTTGCCGAAATACTTCAACCTGGAATATAGAACTTAAAATTTCAGAAAACTTTAGGAAATGCCTATTGTACATGCATTTACACCAACTAATGGTACCAAAGAAAATGCTGGTTTTTTCGACTCTTCAGTGACGTCCAGCAACATGTAAACATAAGTAGTACAAAATAAATGACAATCAAGATAGCAAGAAACAGTCAGAACCTGATCATTAAAATCAGTCTCCCTTCCTTTTGAACCTTTGTCCAAACCAATCTGAAAGGTCCAAAAAAATGCTGTTATGAGAAAGAGGTGGCCTTAAATAAACAAACTCATGAAACTAAAATAATTACTAAATACCTTGGTTAGATTTATGAAACTAAGTCGAATTAGAACAACATTAAAGAAATTTACCTCTCCAACAGCTGCAGATGGAGTGGTCTCAAAGAATTCCTTGAGAGTACTGAACCAATTTGGACTTCTCTGAGCAACATACCTGCAACAGATGAACACAGTAAAAAGAAAAATCCCTAAAACAAGCTCGAAAGCTATATTTAAGTATTCAATTTGTTTTACCAAGGATGAACTCCAAAGCAAGGAATAACAGATGAATACTTCTCGCCCATTTCTTTTACCAAATGCCAATCTTTCTGCACTTTTCAAGAAAACCCCAAGTTAAATATCATAAAAAAGGGGAGAATCAAATGAAATACGAAATTGATTGAGAAATTCAAAGAAAAACCAGCGACCTCGTGAACTCCGTTAACGGCAAAGTTAAGGACCCCGGAATCCAAAGCGGTGGAAATGAGTTTGGGTGCTTTGTTGAGAATCCTGGGATCTTGAAGGTTGCAATGAACATCAAATAATTTAATGGCTATTTCTGTCATCTTCCTTTTTCAGTTTTTTTTCCCCTTTCTCTCTACGAGTGTCTTCGATAATTCCTGATTTACTGTTTTACAGTTTTACAAATTTTGCCACAGAGATTTTGGCCTTCAAAAACCTTTTAGATGAACTTAAATTACAACTACGGTCACTAACGTTTGGATCCGTTTTAATATTGACTAATAACATTTCAAATATTACTTTTTAGTCAATCCAGTTATTGATAAATCACAATGCAACTCCTTTAGACTTAGCCTATACGTTACGATTAGATCTAACGGATTACGTTAATAATCTCAAAATATTTTTAAAATTTTAGTGATAATAAATATATCAAATCAAGTAATATAAGATATAAAACACCATGAGTAAACAAAATATCAAGTATCACGATAATTTCATACATCGGTAGTGAATTAATACATCGTAAAACAAGTATATTAAAAATAGGCATATGTCACCCAAAATAAAGATATACTATAAGATAGAAACATTACAATAAAAGTATTGTAGCTGATGCGTTAATCCTTCGAGTGCCAAATTAGGAGTGTCTAACCAAAAATATTTTAAAGAAAAAAGTTTGGATAGTAAACTAAGGAGCTCAATGTGATCCAACAATGTAAATAAAACATATTGAAAAATTTTAAAAAGTAGCTCAGTAAAATATCATAAAAGTGACAGTGAAGTTTATTTAAACACACAACTACACTGAAATGCAATCTCCTGAAATTACATCTATAAGTGATGAGGTTGATGATGAATTAGTTGAGGTAGATAAAAATGATTTTTTAATTTTGTTAAAGCTATAATTAAATAGAATTATTAAAAGATTAAATTGAAGTTCTGGTTACGATTTAGAAGTTAAATTGAGTATTAATCTTTTCGAGTGTAACATACCATTAGTTTAATGGAAATAAAGTGATTATTTTATAATTTATTGATTAAAATGTGACTTTTGAAACTTTAGTTAAAAAAATTATTTAAATTTTAGTGATCATTTTATATAATTTAGCTTTTAAATTATCTGTCGGTTTTGTCATCGACACTAACTTAACAAAGGTGATATCCACGTTGATTTAGCTTCTAATCCTTCCTCCTCGTATTTTGTAGAAAACTTTAAATAAAAAACATAATTTATTATTGTATTTTGGTCATTGAATTTTAAAACTTGTAAGAATTTTTTGTTAATTTTTATTATAATTATTATCGTTAAGGATCGTTAAAAATATTAACATGATTGGTGTGTTGTTGTTTTTTTTTTTTTTTTTTTTTGCGTTTGTTGATATGTGGTAGTATCAACTTTAATATTGGTTATCGACTGTTGGTATCTTTATTATCCTTTTCTTTTCTTATATCACATATTTATTTTCTTTTATTTTTTATTTTCAATAAGTTTATCTGTATAACACGTTTTTATCTGCCTTTATGGTATATTTTCTTCTGACTTTTGACATGTTTTTTATTGTTTGGTCGTTTTTTCCATTTATCTTTTTCTAAGACTTGATTTGACACCGCCACGATTGATCAAGATGGTGCTTATCTAATTTATTGTTGATCTTCCATGCTTTGAACCCTCGGATTGGATTTAGATATCCAATTTGTGTACATGGATAGCTTTAAACGTCGTTCAAGTCTGATTTGCAGTTTGTCGGTGGTCTTTCAGTAGCTTGATTCTCTTTTGTGGTTCGTTTGTCAATGTGATCAGATCTATTTGTATCTATCTTTGTTCAAGTTTTTTGGTTAGGATTTCAATCTTTCATGTGTGGTTATTATGTGATCTTAAGTTGCTAGTTATTATTTTAATGATTATAAGAAATTGTCTTAATTATATGTTTAATTTACTATTATAATTGTAAATCTTCATTGTGATTTAGGATATTTCGCATTTTAAAT